GCGCAGCATAGCTGTTACAGAGTGCAACATTGTACAATGTTGCGTATATAAATCTGCTTGGTCTCTGAAATCTTATCTGCGGCGGCGTGGTAGCGGCACGCGTTCACACGTACACTACGGACCGAATTATGGACTGATGATTCCGTGGCGCAGTTGCCGAGGTATTTGCTTCGGCGTCGGGGGTCGTGGGTTCGATTCCACACGGAAAAACTATTTGTGTGACCCACAGATAGTTGTTTCGCATCTGGGTGTTTGTCCTCGTGAAATTTTATATATGTAAACACAGGGTAGTGTTGTCCTAAAGGGCAGTTTTAGAAAAAAAGAAAACAGGTAAGTAACATCTTTGCAACGGTGGTAGTATTTTGATTATCAATAAGTGAGTGTAATGCTCCTATCCTTACTAATATTATAAAGGCGAAGGTTTGAATATTATAATTATAATTATATATTATAATATTATTATAATTGAAGTTAGAAAGGGAAAGGTTTGAATGTATGGATGGATGTTTGTTACTCTTTCACGCAAATACTGCTAAATGGATTTTAATGAAACTTTACAATAATATAGCTTATGTTTCAAAATAAGACATAGGCTATAATTTATATACATATGTTATTTGTAATTGTCTTTCTGTCTGAATGTTACGCGTTCAGCCTATTCTACGCAGACATAGTTGCGGGCAGCAGCTAGTGTTGAATAAAGATATTTGAATTTGAAATAGAATTAGAATTGAAAATGAGTTCGAAGCGCATCGAAACCATTGGCACTGAATCGACACCATCGTAAAAACGTACAAACATCGCACAACGTACTCATTCGATGAACTGTTGTATTGCGTTTGTATTTTGTGTTTGTATTTGTGTGGAAGGGGCCGGATGTAACTCCCAACGACCACACCAAGCTAGAAGATTTATTGTAGTCTTTCCCTTCAAAAACATATCCCCTTACGGTAGGTTAACATTATCATGTGTCGTGGTACGTTTTACATAAATAAATTCATTCAATTCACGTGGACAAACACCCAGATCCGAAACAATTATTTGCGGGTGACACAAGCAGTTATCTCCTGTGGGAATCGAATTCACGACATCCGGCACGAAGTCAAAATCTTGGCAAGTGCACCACTCAATCATCCTGAACTCTTTGAATGCATAGTGAATTGTTTTAAATAAGAAAATAATATGAACGAAAGAATTTAATTTCATTAAAATATACCAAAAGCTACGAATGAAGGGAGACATATTGCACTTGTTATTTGTTAAAAAAATTTTTCTAGGTCAATTATACCACCTTATTGGTAATTATTCTCAGTACAGCGTAAAACGTACGTTTTAAATTAGAAAGTACTTCAGTAATGATTCCTATTTATAATTTTTTTCAGCCCATCTGTAAATTTTTAATTTGCCGTATCTTATTAAACTTATTCTGTATAATAAAATATTCTTGAGTACTACGGATTTACGCATTTTATCGGATAACAAATTTAAATATTTCTTTCACTTTGTGTAATAGTGATTTGACCTGTAAAATTATGAATATCTCACTAATTGGTTGACTGAAAATGGGTTTTGCTTTTTTATCATAATATAATTTTTAAAATAATATAATATTTTTTTCGTTTTTTATTTTTCAACCGACTTCAAAAAAGGAGGAGGTTCTCAATTCGACTGTATTTTTTTTTATGTATGGCACCTCAGTACTTTCGACTGAGTGAACCGATTTTGATGATTCTTTTTTATTTGAAAACTGGTGCTTCCCATGCGGTCCCATATTATTTTATTGGTATGGGATCATGGGCTCCGGAGATACTTAGGGATCTCCTGAAAATCAACTATAAAATGAATACAGAGCGAGAGCGATTTGAAGTCGGTTTTGTTTTCCGTTAATAAAAAAAATGACTTGTTACACGCATATACTAATATGCCCTCTATATTATATATATATATAGCTTGTAAGTACACATGTACCCAATACACATAAACAAGTACAGCTTTGTCATAACCCTAGGAGGATCCGGTATTAACATTAAATCGTAGTTTAATTGTATGATGCAGCTTAATTACGATTTACATGTACATCGCAACGTCTTATAGAGAAGTTGAGTTTACTTCGAGGTTATCGTTTATGTTGGCTTGATTATCTAATTATTGTGCAATACACTTAAATCAAATTATCTGTTGCTCTGATAGAGACATGCCAGATGCATGATTGGGACAGTTCAATCTGACGAGTTCCACGGCGTGCAAGAATACATAGAATTGTAGGATTTTCATTTCTACTTCGTATATCCAGTGTGATAACCTGTGATTCTTTATGATTTGTCATCAATAGAAAGAAAAAAAATGTGATTTCAATGTTAATTGCTATCGAGAAAACACAACACTTATTTAATACCCATATTTAAATTATAATCTAACTAAATTACATGTTAGGCATCATTTCCTCGCTGAATAGTTATACTTAACCTTTGAGTGAGAAAAGAACCAGCCCTCTTCTCACCTTACTCGGCGATAAGTCTAGGACGTAAACCATTCAAAAATTTCCTACGGATCCTATGGATTTAAAGTTTCAACAGAAAATGCATACTCTGAATAAAGAGACTCATATTTGCGCCATTTACTTCAGCTACCTCTGATGTCGGCCCGGCCCTGACCGAAGTACAGTAAATAAACATAGTAAAGTGACAGCCAAAGTGTCTACACAAATAGCATAGCTTTGCTTCTCCCCTTAGAGACCAAAGTCAACCCGTCGGGTCATTTGTCATTATTTCCAACCGGCACTTTATAATACTTTTTTGCACATTTTCCACCTTCTGTTTTGTAAAAATCAAATAGAGTTTTCATCCTAAGCCACGTAACAAAATTGAATGTATATAAATAAAGCGTCAAAAGTCCCTTCTCGGACGTTCCATTTTAAAACGATTAACGACCTTACATCCTAAATTCACCGGTCGGTTATTTTCCGTCATGTCCGCGCCGATGTGTGCTAAAATTAATTCTCATTTTCATTCTTCGATACTAGCGAGTTAATAACCTGTGACAAGGTAGCTTATCAGGATAGTATTGTAATAGCTAACTCGTTAGAATATTGATGTTCTCCTTAACACCGTGGCAGTTTTTCTAATTCACACTTTTTCTCATTGAAGTAGGGTGACACAGCAGATTTTGCTAGTGCATGAATGGGCTGGCTCGTCCAGGGAACAGAAGCTTCACAGAAGACCGGCTTGAAATGAAAGTGTTAGACTATTGAATTTTGTCAAGTGAGTGAGGCCCAATTATTTCAAATGAATGTTGCCTCTGCCACCCCAAAGCAGTTGCCCATTGACATCTAGTCGATGGGCAGCGGTAATCACTTAACATCAGGTAAACCGCTTGGTCGCTTACCATTTCTTTCATAAAAAAAACTACTGCGTAATGAATAAAAATGCTGTATTATTTGAAAATCTTAAATATTCAGGTTGATATTCTCGGTTCTAGGTTGCTCTTATCTCGTATGGTATATAAAATGCCATGAATACACGTTAATTAATTTATTATTAATCTATACATTAGTAAATTAATACATAACACATATTAATATTACTAATAAACATAGTGTATATAATTACAACACCGTTGGTCAGAATGTAACCTTAAATGTGTAATAAACTTCTAAGGTTTGAAAATTATAGGTTAAACAAATCTATAACTAATATCGTGTGAGGTTCCAAATATGATTAAACAGATTGAAAGTAATACTTACGCAAATAATTAACATGTTTTAAAATTAACCAATGGAATATTCCTTTTCTTAAAAAATTATAACATAAAAATTGTTAAAACTTTATATATTACCCAATGTTACGAATGTACCAAAATCGGAGACCATCGAAACCGCGATTTTAAATCACGAAGTTCTCGAAATTTCGTAAAAGAAGATTTTTGGAGGAGCTGTGGGACTTAAGACACAGACACAGACCAACGACAATAACATATGTTAGCGTTACTTCAGGTGCTAACTGTAAAAAGAAAGAGAGAATTTTAAGTTAGACTAAACATGTACATTGTCTCATGACTCGACGCCAATGTTTACATTTTTGTGATACATTTGTAACGGACTATACGCACTATGATAATGAGATAAGTCGTTTGTAGATAAATCTCAATCCAATGAATTAATACATATTGAAGCGATATGAAAATCTTTTAAATCAGTAAAACTGTCTATTATTTGAAGTTTAATATAGATTGGGGTTAAATCATTTTGTTGTATAAAGAACTTGATTAACTTCATTCAAACTTTGAAGAAATTATGGACAATTACAAAGTAAAGAAAATTGAATTCAAAATAAAATTACCATAACATGAAAGGTAATACAAAATATGTGAAATATTATTGTGGGTAAGATATTTTTATGTATTATCTATAAAAATGCTATCTATTATCTTAATTTCACTACAAGTTCCTTATGTGCAATGTCAGAATGTTTGTCAAACAAGATTATTTTACAGTTATAGAGCTAAACTAGATTTTAATTACCATGCTTTTAATGAACTTTAACTTTTAGTTTAACCTTAAGTTTTAAAAATTATTAAAATAGTTAACAAACGCATGTATTTGCTTTGTTTCTTTTTATTTTGTTTTTTTCCATACTGAATCTAATTTACACACTGACCGTTTTAATTCTTATTCTGTGTGATGATTGACAGCCAGGTTATTTTCCTTCCTAAGTGTTCAACAAAGATACGCGATAAATCAAACACACGTACTCGATCAGGCGTCCAATTTCAATTAGTTATATGCGGTCGGATAGTTTATAAAGGGTCAAACAACGCGCGGCCGCGGGTGCAAGGCGTGTAAACACAAAAGTGGTAACAGTATTGACTTTTGATTCACGCCGCACTTGCGTTGTTAGCGCGCTATCAGTACAAGTTCGAGTCACTATTATGAATGTGAACGTCCGAACGTTCCGATTTCGGTGCGTGCCCGAGTTAGCACGGATCACGGACGTTTTCAACACATGCGCGGCCAAGGCGTTAAATTAGAAAAGCCTAGAAAAGACTTCAACGCACGCCAGGTAGGAAATGGGAGATTTCGAGTTCAAGTGCATGAATCAGATGGCAATGATACAGACGATCACGAGATGGCCATTGTACAGTTTAAAACACCTAAGTGCCCGTTTGATCGCATCGCGTCTGCTTCATTTGGTTGTGAACAATGCGGCAAAATTTGTATAATCGTTTCCTTAATCGCGTTTAATTGATATCGTCGGCAGCGTGAGCGATAATAAAAAAGAGCGCTTGCCTTCCGAATTCAAATATCGGAGTTATTAAGAATACTAGAGGGTAAGGTTGAGATTATTTTAAAATATTAGCGGTAGTCATACCATCGTTCGTAGCAAAACAAATCGCGCGACATAGAAACCGATCGTATTGCATCGCGCGACCTTCGGCCGGCTGTGCAGTTCACGGCGCGATCTCCTGCCGTCCACACAAATCAGCTGGGCGACAGCACTCCCACGCAAAACATTGAAATTCAACACGCACTCACCGCAAACACGGCCGTCCCGGCGATGAAACCGTGACACGGGCAACTCGCTGAGCCGCTGGACACCAGAACGTAACAACACAAACGCCGAATACAGAACTGTTTTTACAGCGACAGACCGGAACGGGAGCGTCCGATCGCACCACCGAAAACTCGTTGCGATATCACAGATACACTGCGTTCGCGCCGCGTTCCGTGTGAAGTTTCGCCCGCGCGTTGCGTGCGCGTCACTAGCGTGCGTTTCCGTCGAGCGTTCGGAGACGAATGCGCCGCGGAGCGCGCGGGCCCCGCTCGGCGGCCGTCGGGGCCCGGCCGAACCGCGCTCGAGTGGCCGCCGCTTCCGCGACGCGCCGCGAAATAAAGGCGACGCCAACATGCATACGGTCGGACATCTCACATCTCACCGCGTTCGGCGGGGTGGTAGGGAAGGGTTTGTTTTTGGTCAAGAGGGGAGCACCAGCACACGGCACCAGGTTGGTCCTTCGTATCATACCTTCGTTAACATAAAGGCGCGGAAGCGATCTTTTATCGCGGTTTATTATTGTAAAAACACCCAAATGCTTTACAGCTTCCATAGGCTGGGTGGTGGCTGCTTCTCAAGCTCACGGTAGTCGGAGTTAACAACGGCACAAGGACTCCTGATATTCGCTGCCTGACAAAAGCTTTCAAAACTTTGGGTTTTTTAAAATAAATATCCATGAAATTTAAATTGTTTATAGTGCTAATCTTTGCACTTAAGATTGAACATTTTTCTACATATTTTAAAATATCCATGAGTTGTATATCAAGACGTATAATGTTCGCTAAACTAAATGAAGTTATTATAATGAAAGTTAGGACAGGTTGGCTTGAGTGATTAATGACCGTTGGCGTACGCGACGCCTATAGCATAGGAGTTGCCTATCGTCCTTTAAAGGGATGAATCCTGATTATATCACTGACCAAATTTTGCCCGGGAAGAACTTTTTTGTTTTTGTATAACTGATGTTACGCTTTCAGTCCTTAGACTATTAAAGAAGCTTCATCAAACGCAGAACCGATGGGCTAGCCAGAACCCACGGGTTCTACGGGAAGTGCTACGATTATTGAAGACCGACTCGTGGTAAAAGTGTGACCAGACACTAACTGAGAGTGCTCCAGGTTGGCAACGCCTCTGTGAAATCTCCGGTGTTGTGAGTACATTTAGACGGTGTTCGTTGTGTATAAGAGACGTAGGTCTAAAGTCTGACTATGTTGGTCTTCTGTGATAGCGCTCCTGGACAAAAGGGGCCGGTACATGCAAAAGATGCTGCTTAGCTTTACCAGGTGCAAATCAACCAATAACTAATGTAACCAGGGTAACCAAAGTTTCATTATAAACCATTCGCGGATATCCCTTTCCACACAATTACGTTTGACAACCTTCTAATGTCACCTTTCAAACCTACATTTTTCTTCTATTAGCGATTTAGCTTACACAATCGGTTTATCATTTTTGATAAAACTACAGGTTTTCTGAATATAAATCGTCGTAAGGGAAGAGACTAAAGAAGCTGGTCCCTTGTGTGCCGGACAATGTAGGGTTGGTATGGAAATGAGATACCCTAATCTGTTTGTAAACCCCTGTAATATTTCATCTTCCTAAAAAAGCGTTTCGCTCTAATACCTTGTGTGTGCGGAATACTTTGAGAATATAATTTTGTGAGCTTATTCGTAAGTTTCGGGGCTTTAAGCGCCTAAACCTAAAAAAAGTGCCTGCGATTAAAACTGCAAGAGGCGCAATAAATTCTTCATTAACTGTTATGTTTACAATCTTGTTGACAATTATCTACTTCACTGCCGTAACCTTTAACAACAATCTACGCATTTTTAATGGTTGGGTAGATTTTTATGGCCTTTTACTCACTTATAAAGACGAATTTAAATTTATAATTACTACACGATTAATGTAGTAAGAGTTAAGCAACGTTAAGTAACATTTATTACGCCTTAACCTTAAACTATAGAAGAATTACGAAACCGATTTTATTTGCAACGTATTAATTAATAAATTGGCGACGTAGGTACACAGCTTTGCGTTATTACCTCAAAGCAGTGCTAAATTAATATTTCAAACCATATTTCTATCATTTGAAATACTGAAACTGCATAATTACTTGTATTGTTCAGTCTGCTTATAATTTATAGACTCTACCGCGGCATAGTTACCATTATATAAAATTTTGCAACAAAATCCCCCTCTCTGTCGAACTTTATAAGATTATAGATTTGCGTAAATTACAATGATATCTATAAAAGAAGATTACATCGTCAAATCATTCCATTTTTTTTTCACTTTACGATCGCCTCGTAAAGATACAATGTGAGCATAGAAATCTCCACTCATTTGTGTTTATGTCGAAGTTATCGTGTTATTCCGCAAAACAAAATTGTCCACGTTGTTTTATAGGCCGTAATATTCGAAAGGAAAGAATGGCATTAATCGGAGTAACTTGGCCTCGGGTCTGCGTTACAATGAACATGTGTATATTAAAATGAAACGTTAAGTACGAGTAATGTCGTAAATCGTTTTTTCTTTTTTATGTGAAAAGTTGCCAAACGAGCAGACGGCTCACCTGATGGTAAGTGAATACCGCCGCCCATGGACATCTGCTACACCCGAGGGTGACAGATGCGTTGATAACCTTTTGAAATTTGGGCTTCGGCCACGTCACTCACCAGACGAAACGCGAAAGTATTTGTCGTACTTCCACTTTACGCTGGTCTTCTGTGAGGTCATGGTAATTACCCGGACGGGCCTGCCCATTCGTGCAACAGCCGAGTCTGCTGCGTGGTCCTACCATAGTAGAACTGCAGTAAAATTGAAGAAAGACATTGTTTTTTAAACATAAAGAGAATGTTAGGTAATCCTAGTTTTAACTGTAGAGCAATATTTTTATTTAAATAAGTAACACTAGCAATCTCTGTAAACTCTTCTAAAGTACGTAGATACACTGTTATACGCATAATTATACAACTCGTGCCGTAACTGGATATGGCAACGTCTAACGTATGATACTTAAATGACAAGTCTAATTGGTCAATTTACGCGCGCCATAAATCACGTAATTTAGTAGAGGTCCACACACATGGATGTCAACAAACACAGCTTGTACAATTTAAAAATAGAGCTTGCCAGACTTGTATTTATTTATGTTTTATGATTGATATTAATATTGAAATGGGTAGATATAATAATTTTATTTTTCCTTTGCAAGTGATGATTTCCAAGGCACGATGTACTTACTTTTGAACTAAAAGTTGAGATTGAAATGAAAAATTCTTAATTACGTGCTAATTTTGCGAGCGTTGCATAAATTTCTTACACCGGTTTAAAGGGAGACTTCGTCCTTAAAGTTTCCTCTAAGTGAAAGTAATGCACTTTGCACTTTCGTTTTTTCGGTTGTAGCCTAAAAGCAAATTGAAATTTACTTAATTAAATTTTTATGAAATTGAGTAGTATATAAATCGGTTCTTAAACTGTTAATTATTTATTATTTACGTAACATTTAAGATCAGTGGTTCGGTGATGTCTTCAGATAAAAGTAGTACCTATTTCTTTTACTTATTTTGTTAGAAAAGAATAAACTTACTAGTTAATAATAATTAATAATTTAGTATTAAAACTCTTTTATTTATAATGATATCGCTTTTTTATTAATTTTACTTAATCCTGCATAAAATATAAAAAAACGAGGAATAAAAAATATAACTTTGTCCTTTTTATTCTATGAATTTAAAATAATTATATTTTAAATTAAAGGTAGTTAAACGATGACTAAAATTTAATTATTATAAATTAAAGAAAGCTAATTTACAAGATGCTAAATGTAACATTCTTAGGAATATTTATAACCAACTTCAAAGTGGAGGAGGTTCTCAATTCGATTGGGATATTTTTTCGGCGATAAAAAGTCGGCAATGTTAGCTCTAAGTAGAGGCATCTCAGGAAAAATGACAAATTTGTCAGTTTATCATTGTCACGTGTCATCGCAGCTTGTTTGGCACATTGATAAAATGCTAGCAGCTTAAAGCGTTTATCACCTTCGCTTATCGGCTAATGTCGAGAGCTTTTGTGTTTGTATAATGGTTTTTGGATAACACGTGAAATCGCTTTGTGACACGCACCCTCGAGTATAAGTTTAATATAAAACGGCTTATGTACTTAAAGCTCACGTCAATTATGTAGTCATAAATTTAGCAGCTTTCTATTATTTGTTGAGACGGCAACTAAGAAAGTTCTGATACATTAAACACTGTCTCGTTAAGAATGCTCAAGTTCATATTTTGTTTTAAATGGAAAATCTCGAAATTTATTCAAAAAGTTTTCATTGCGTTTTGTTTTAAGTAAAACGTATCCATATAGGTAACAAGATCTCGATTTTGAGCCCTAGGAATGTAATCTATTATTTATTAACATATGTTTTATTACGTGATTAACAAAAAACATATAGTTCTAGAGAAAATTGAAACTCCCCCTCTAAGCTTTCAACATTAAATTAGAAAGATTTACTGTGGTAAGGGGCACATAGAGGCTTGCTGTTGTAGTATGACCCGGCTCGTCTGAAGTACCCGAGCGGCACAAAAGTCCGGTGAGTGAGGTAGCCGGGGTGGCCCCTCTTTTAAACTGTGGTGGCATATTTGAAAATGTGTTGTAGATGTCAGGTGAAAGTTTGCTAGCATTATTCCTTCTTGTATGAGAGAAATTTAAAAAGGCAATAAATAAAAACAAGACTGTCCAACGTATAAGATGAGAGAAAATAGGAGAATTCGAAAACGATACGTAAAACCAACACATTCGCTATACGAAGTGAATCGTCGTATTTGTATTATTTGATAACGTAATGAGTGTGTAGAATTAGTTCAGCTAAGGTTATCAAGAAAAACAATTAAGGAGACGCACGGTTAGATTAGGAACAACCGCGAACGTCGAACGTTACCGCAAGTTGTTTTATGCATAAGTTGTTTACGTTCGCTTTGTTTATTTTTCTAAGGATTTAAATAAAGATTTAAAAAACTAAACAAGACATTTTGGAAAGTTTATTTCATTTTTAAATAATTTCAACAGTTACAGTTCGAGATTGCTAATATTTGAAAATTATGTAACATTTTCAAAAAATACTTTCTATTTTCGACTGCCTTCACTATAGTCTAATAATAATATTGCGTTACATCAAAAACAGAAAGGGTGTTATTTATTAAATCATTTCTGTACTAGGAAGAAGGAAACTTGTGTATTGTGATAAATTTGAAACGGTATTAGTATGATATAATTTGATATCATTAAATAATTACACCGATAACGTCGAAGGATACACATCGAAGGGCACTTGTCGTCGTGATAAGGTATCACTTGATTTATGCTTTGGTTTTCACCAACATAACCTCGTTATTATGTTAACTAAAACATCGGTTTTTACGGACATAATTTGCAAATGCCTCAAGTGCACAGCAAGGAGCTAAGAATATTGGTATTAACAAATTTCGATAACTTATTCAACTACACTTTGATCTTAGCCAAAAGGCCGAGAAGCGATAGCTTAGTGTCCGGGCGCTCGCCTTTAATTCAATATACTCGAGCAAACTGAGT